TAATTTGTATTTCAAAATATTTCCTAAAAATGATTGACGGCTAAAACCATGATTTCAATATATTATATTGTACAATCAAAATCGTATAATATAATTAGTTTAAATATCATTAATTATCATAATTAGTCAATTTAATAATTTTTCTAAGTAATTAATCATACAGTACGATTAGTTTAGAAAAATTATATTCTGATTTTTCTTACTACCTCACTCCCTTGAGCGTGTGTGTGCACGGTCACAAGATTAGCATACACCCTTACAAGACTTGACTCAAAAAATTATAAAAATATATAAATGAATTTTATATACTCTTTTAGCATGCTATATTGTACCCAATCTTGAGCTCTGAATGTTTAATAATTGGTTCATGATGTACCTAAAATAGTAGTATACACAACAACAAATATGAAGGAATAAGATATATAATAATTTTTTGCAACCTGATACGAAGATACTGATGAAATATGTATAATTAATGAATACTGGCATGTGAATTAGTAATAGTTGATCATTATTACTTTTGCAATATTATGTGTAAAAACATAGAAAGGTTGGTAAGTTATTGAGGCTGGTTAAAAATTATTTTATAATAATACAGTTTGATGGATTGATGGACTTTCCTTTAAATAATATGGTTTGTAGTGATATCCTCTATGAATTCACCAGATTTATTGATTAGGATTAATAAAGAGAAATTAGTCTTCTTATGGATAAGAGTGATGACTCTGACCATTAATAGCTTCATGAATACTAACTAAGAATAATTACAAGAAAAATATTACATAATCTAGAATTTCATACTTATCTTATATGACTGCTTCGACACATATATGACATTGATTTAGGTTATTGATTTCCTTTTACTATGCTTGTGATTAAGAACTTGATTTTAGACCTATATAGAATAATTGAGCATCATGTGTACTATTATACAATTTCTTGATAGTATTGTGTCATAATAGATTTTTTATAGTTTTCATAGATACTTCTTCTTTACTGGTCAATATATACTATTTTCAAATTATTTGAATAATACTTATATTATATTTGGTTTAATAATGATGATTTAAAACCTTAACGTTATGATTTTCATACTATACAGTCTTATAGGCTCTATTGTTACTACATTTATTTTACTATTTATATACAAATTCATGATCATATCAATTGTTATTATTATGAACTCAATAATTTCATGCATAGTATTTCTTTTTCACGCTTTGAGTTTAGTATTAGAGTTGTACTGACTTGTTAGGATTTATAAACTCAATTTACGTGGTTTAATGATCTTAGATCAGAAACGAAGTTCATGACTATGAGGCTGATTAGATGCAAGATTATTCAAGTTTTACTATCATTTTATCTTTTAATTATGAATTTGAGCTCAGGAGTGTGCCAATGGTATGTTGTATTTGTATGACTCAAGGTTAATGTATATGATTTTTTATTGAACATCGATATATATATATATATATCAGTAGATTTATTTTTTGCTGGTTTTTTATTATTAAGAAAATTATATAGTTATGGTTGTTATTACTAAAAGATATGATATATTTCTAGGGTGAATTCAATAGTGCCAAGCAGGTTAAGATAAGAATGTTTCGGCAAACCCATCATCTAGGGCTAAGATAAGGGAGTCCGCAACTGTCAAGCTTGATGGGGTTACCAACGACCTATGTTGAGGTCCTGGGATAGCCCTCAAAGAGAGAGGCGAAAGTGTTGTTGTTGTGGGAAGGGAGTGATTTAGGTTGAATGGTAGCAGTAAGATACGATGAATGTCCCATGAGTAGGTGATTTCTTGTAGCCGAGCTTGGTGTGCATAACTGGGCATACTTCCTTTGAAGGAGAGCACATGATCATGGTGGCTACCATTCATGCAGTTGGCACCGAATTACTTGTGTAGTGAGCAGGCTTGATTGAAACCCTTGATGGACAATCTTTAGTAGGCCCGGGTGAGTAGTGATTGTTAAAAATTTTGATGAGTCCTCTTGCTCATTCCAGGAGAGTAACTCGAACTAATCGTAAAGTGATTTCAGCTTTGGGAACAACTGGGGCATGTTCCTTCATCACGACTTGCAGATTATCTAAAGGGGGCTTGTGAAGGTATATGCAGGTATACAAGGAAATCATTCATTTATATTTGGTTCAAAGTAAAATTAATTTTTTATAGCCTGATGACAACATCAGTGGGGTGATTAGCGACAATGGCCTTAATTATGGTGGTGATGGTTAGCAAGTGGTGGTGGTCTATAGTGCCTAGCTTCGACTATGGTGTAGAGCAGCAATGGTGACAGTACTTCTTCACACATATTATACATTTGAAATTTGCGCTGATAAAAAATTTTTAAATATACTTTTGAGATGGTCTTACATTTAATAAAGTGCAATATTTTCTTAGTTTAGTCAAAATTTCAATGTTTCTTTTCCTGTTGATTAATTTCATGTTTTTACCCTGATTTGGTGTCATGGTGGTGTGATATAACTTCAAATTATCCAAGTTATTCTTCCTCATGTTTGCCTTTGTAACTTCATAAAACGAGTAGACCCTAACCCGGCCCAGATAGGTAAAATGGGTCAGAAATGCGAACCCAGACCCGACCCGGGAAGGCTGGTTGCCTGGCGCACAGGCACGGTTCGCGCGGGGCCAGCATGGTTGCATGGGGCGGGCGTGGTTGCGCGGGGCTGGTGTACAGGGCAGACGGGGTCGCAATGGGCGGGCGGGGTCTCAGGCAGCCACGCGGGCGAGCTGGCAGCCTCGCAGCCGTGCAGGGAGCCGCGCGGGCTAGCTGGTTTCCGCACAGCCGTGCGGGCAGTTGCGCAGGCGTGCTAGCAGGGGGCATGAAGGTCTGCGGTCAGTGGGCACGTGGCGGGCAGGGGTTCAAATGGGTTTCCGGGTTGATCCGACCGAACCTGACCCGTTTTTCAAACGGGTCGAATCCGGGAACCCGAACCCGAGCCGTTTTGAAAACGAGTCGGGTCTAACCAGAAAATTTCGGGTCAGGTTCGGGTCAGATTTTCATGTCGTGACAAATAATGACACCCCTAGACTCAAATGATCGTTGGTACATATAGCTCTAGATATGTATACCCTTCTGACTTTTGCTAGAGGAAGAGGTGTTTCAATGCCATAAATGGAGATACCCTTTATGGAAGAGTGCGAGTGATCACGATGACCATCCTAGTTCTTGGCTGAGTGTCAAGTTGTGTGCTAGCCAAAAACCTTAATAGTCCTTTTAGAGACGACCTAGCTCGTTCATAGGCTCGGACAAACAGTGTCCGTTGATCATTTGGATTAGTTTTCTTGTATGTTCCAAATAAGCAGTTTCTGCTGATCATAGATCGAGTTCACCTGTCTTCATCGTGACTATTCAACTGCCTGTTAAACACCTGTGAAAACATGTAAGTGTACAAATAAATTTGTTTTAATGGTTGGCAGATCTCAAAATCCATTTTCACAGTTCTCATGTTCAAAAATAGTAAAATAAAGAAACAAAAAAAAATCAGTAGGTCAAAACATCCATTTCGTGTATAACAAGAAATTCTCTTCGATTTATAAGATAATTATACAGTCCAGTTCCTGAACTGTAGAACACAAGACTTGAAGGTAGATACAAGTTGCTCACGGATCTCAAACATTAATGAATCCGAACTAACTTTAACAAAGCCATAATCCTTCTTTATTATTACCAAACATGCCCCAAATCGTAAATAATCAAAGCCGATCAGCAATAGTCCACGTCATGTCCCCTTCGAAGATCCAATGGCACACCTCGATCTTCCCCGGCCCGGGCCCCAGCGCAACAAAGGCCCCGTGTTTAGGGCTCCAATCCGACGTGTCAATATGACAGATGGCGATCCCTTCATTGATCTTTTTCTTGCTATCAACGGCCATGATTTCAGCCTCGTAAACGCGAACAAGCGGCACGGAGTGGCAGTAATAAACCAGATACGGGAACAAACTCTGGTGGCAACTCACTGATGAGGTAACCTTACCACCGTTCAGTCCCTTCACCTCCCCGATAAGAATGTTTTCGTTGGAGCCCTCGGTGTTCTTTGTGGATTTCACCGCGACGTCGCTGCCGAGGACGGAGACGGCGAAGTCGATCATGTCTTCGGCTGACGCGGTGCAGCGCTTTGACTCACCGCGGCTCGGCCACCGCTCGCAGTCGCCCACCGTTGTATATACAGCGTTCGCCATAGCAGTACCCAGTGGGATCTTGAAGATTCTGACGACGTCGGCTGCCGCGAACGGGATTTTCCCTGCGATAGACCGCGGAAGAAACGATCGCGGAGGCATCCTGTCGCGAATGTCCGGCATTGGCATCACTGTCCCTTTCTTCAAGCTGCTTTCCCTGAAGAACTTCCCTGGTTCCACCCATCGATTCATCCCCGGCCGCATAACCGCTGAAGTTGATATTGGGGACGATGAGGAATTGTGGTAAGATTTGAAATCAATGCCAGTTTTGGCATAGGCTTTGAAAGTGGTGTTGTCGCCGAAGTATGATTTGAAGTTGATGTGGTCATTGCCGGAACCCTGTCCGTAACCATTGAAGACATCGCTGCCCTGATTAAACGACTTGCCGTATTTATTGAATTCGGCTGTCGCGTCGTTCCCTCCTTTCTCATAAGATGCAAAGGAATCGTCCCCTACATTGGATTGATCTCGATAGCTGGTGAATTTATCGGTACCGGCATTTGTGCCGGAGCCATACGATCTAAAACTGTTTTCCGGCACATTTCCGTTATCGCCATAAGAGGCGAACGTATCGTTGTTAACGTTTCCATCCTCACCGTAGTTTGCGAATCGGCTTCCGATCACGTTGGAGTTGTTACTATAAGAGGCGAATGCCGTGATGACTCCGTTTCCAATCTTACCGTAGCCGGAGAAGGATTGGCCACCGGAGTTGGCGTCGCCAGAATAACGAGAAAAGCCAGCGGCGCGGCCGTTTCCTTCCGCAGCGTAGTTTGTAAACCCCAGGTCGGGGACATTGGAAGAATGGTCATACGAAGTGAAGTTATCAATTCCGCCGGCCGTGATGGTGCCGTAGGAAGTGAAGTTGGCGGTGACGACGTTGCCATCAGGGGAGTAAAATGAGAAGGAATCATCGTGTCCGGCGGAGTTGCGGCCGTAACGGCGGAAAGTGTCGAAGGGGACGTTGAGACCGTCGGAGTAGTTCTTAAAGGAAGAAAGTCCGCCAGCGGCTTCGTTGCCGTAGTTGGCGAAATTTCTATTTTCGTATTTAGTGAAGCCGGAATCAGCGGGATGGGTGGAGAGGGAACGGGTTAGGTCTGAGGAGCAGAGTAGAGCGGCAGAGGCGCAGAAGGAGACAAGGTGGGTGGATAGGTTGGAAGGGTCGACGGCGGCAATGGTAGAGAATATAGATGCATCGACGGCGGAGAGGGGAGTGAGCTTGGAGACGATGAAGGATGGATGTGGCAGGTTGTTAGAGACTTTGCGGTTCCAGTAGCGGATAAGCGCTGCTTTTTCTGTGAATGGGTTAGCTGATGACTTGACCTCAGTCACTGCGATGGTGGTTGCTGAAAGAGGGAGGAGGAGGAAGAAGAAGAAGAAGAAGATTGCAGCCATGAGACTGCAGCGTGGTTGCTTCTTCGTGTCTAGACTTCTTCTGCGTTATTGGATGACGCAGGGGACTGAACTAAATAGATAAGAGTGTGAAACTGGGGCCAGGCGCCATTTTCTTGGATAGTTCATTTTTCAGCAGCTCTTCCCAGTAAGAAACGATGGATCACTGAGTAGTAAGATAATGGACAAATTAATGTTAATGCAGTGTGTGTGTGAGAGAGAGAGAAAGAGAGAGAGTGAGTATTTTAAGGCTTTTGTAAAGAAAAAAAGAAAGAAAGTAGGTGATATATATCTAAACGTAGCTATATATACGTGCATTGTCCGAATATATTTATTTCTCAATGTTAATGATAAAATCTTCTATCTGTGATAAATTTTGATCCCGCGATCCTCACGATTATGAATTCCACCTTATCAGAATCAATCAATTCTCAACAGATCTCTGTGTTTTCTACCTATGTCGAGCTTTCTTTTTCTGCTTATGAATTCGAATTACAACGTTTTGGTTTTTATTAAACCTTTTATAACACTCGGATCATCTATTAATTTTGGACTAACAGGACTGTTATTTATGCCGCACGTGATATATATATATATATATATATCGTAATGGGCATCCTCACGCTCACGGGCAAAACGGACGGACGTGAGATATCATGTAAATTAAAGAATAGTTATTAATGGATAATAATACATGATGTAACTCTAAAAATTTCATGTGATCTGCATGAATCTTATGACAATTTTGGAATGAGAAAAGTTTTGAAATTAAAATAAAGATCATTTGAACTCCAAATTGGACATGGTTGTGGTCAAATTGAGCAGCTCAATGAGACGAATCTAACAAGCACAAGATCTCTCAGTTTCGAGAATATTAATGTGCTTAAATGTTAAAAAATTATTTCATGATCAAGGGACTCTATATGGATTGTATGTTAGAGTATTTTTTTATTCTTGTTCAAATTATCAAAATTTTCATCCCAAAAAATTTATAAATAGATCATCATTATCAACATGAAGGGAGGCCAATAAGAGTTGTAAAAATTTGGGAGCTCTCTTTGCAGTAATCAACCATCACCACGAATGACCACCACTTACTATCACCAACTTCAAACTCCTGTCAGGATTTAAACCTATTGTTGGTTACCAATTATCTTCTTGCGGACATCAGTCCAAAATAATCCCTATCAGGAAAATTAAGCTCTATTGTTGGGTGTTAATTGTTCATCAGTGAAAACTTTATTTATGTAATTCCTGAAAGAAAAATCAGAAATTTGTTCTCAAATAATTCAATTATCTTCTACTCTGAGAAAGGGAGAATTCTTGTATCACCTACTATATAATGAATTTTTCGACTAGGTTGGGCCCTATGTTTTTTCTCTTTTTTTATTTTCCATGTAAATAATATCTTATTTTAATACTTTTATCTATGCATAGTAATATTTTGTACAACTCTGAGGCTTAAAACACATGCTATTCCAGCTCAAATTTTTTAGCACGCAATTATTTGTCTCCATCTATGGGAACATTCCAATTTACTTCTCCAATAATTGATATTTAATCCCTCAATCAAAAATGATAAAATGTAGGTGCTGAAGTTTGCCTATGCATCACTTTAGAGAGTCGTACATGTAGGATGGAGAAACCTCAAAGCCAAATCCTATAACTTTGAGGAGGATGAACAACAAAGTGCACTATCTCAATATGATGATGTTATATATCCTTCCAAAAAATCAGCAACTATTTATAGATAACAGCAATCTAGGAACCCCTTCTTTTCAAAAAAGCTCATCATGTTCTCTCCAATACAATTACTTCAATTCACCCTCCTCACATTGTTCAACCAACCCATAATCCTCTACTAACTTAAATCAACATAATTTTGTGAACGTCTCTTGTGATGTGCTATGATATATTATTCAGAAGAAATTTCTTTTGAAATAATGGAATCAATTTACTCCTCCACGTAGCATCTAAGAATCATCACCCTTAAGAAATAAAATTCCTTAGCATCTTATTCCAATGGCATTGAAATCACCTACTATTGATCTTTACCATACATCTTATAATCCCTACGAATATATTGATCATTATAGGTCCATTATACATATTTAGTAAGTGTTTGATGCACTTTTTTTATCAAGTTTTTCCTGCTACTTTTAAGATTCAAGCTCACAATTGGCTCTACTTGCTCTCCAGATATATCAACTATAAATTCACCTACTTTGTTGGACTTTTTGACGAACAATTAATTACCAATCAAAGAATTAAGAAGGAATCCTTCAATGTTTCTAGGATTTATGAAAATGATGGGGAAACACTAAAAATTAATTTGAGAAATTTTCTTCTAATGTACATGAAATTTCCATATTATACTCATGATTATTAAGAGATGTTTTTTCTTAGAGGTCATCACCTTGGACTATTTTACTTGTTATTGATACGAGAGATAATTCGCTTATTCATTTATCTAATTCATCAAGTAGAAGCTCAAATAACTGCTGATAAGACCATCAATGATCATTTAAAGTAGTTTGATCAGTCCTCCACCAAACTTAAAAACATCACAAGAATTTGATCAACATATATAATGAAAAAGACAAAAAAGTCAAAAGACCATTCTCACCAAACTTATTTAGGGTCACCTAAATACACACCTGTAAATATATAAAGAGCTAATATTCTGATATATATTCAAAATTCTAAACATCTCATATGGTGGAGATCAATCTCAATTTGGTAACTTTCACCATTTTTAAAGGGATACTCAACCAAAAAATGCTTTCAAATGTAGGATGAGATTAAACATCTAATTTTCTAATGACAGCTATGTTATTATTTTCAAGAATAACTTGTTGATCACTAGCCTTAAAATAGAGGAGTTCGTAAGAGTCATGATAAAGATATTATTTGTAGTATTGATTAGGAGTGCCATCACATTAAAATTACTCAAAGAATTTGAACTTCTAAATTTTTTTTTACTTTTAAATCTTTCAAGTATGGTTTTATTTGAAGTATCAATGAAGCTTTAATTATTATATGAATAAAATTGAATTTAATAAAAATATAGAGAAAGAACTCCCATGAGTTAGCCTTATTGGAAAGGTAGTAGTGAACATGATCATCACTAGAAAGATCTCATGAGGACATGTGGCAGATACAGTCTCCACTCACCACTCCAAGAAGGCATACCCATGAGGTAGCCTAAAAGAAAGTTAGTAGGGACAAAGTCCTCACAAGAAAGACTCCATGAGAGAAAGTAATTGATAGGGTCTCCTCTTATTCAAAAATCTTAGAAGAAAAAAGCCTAAGAAGGTCCAAGATTGTCAAAAAAACCTTAAAATTGAAAGGTCTTAGACAAAATAGATGTATGTAAAATCTCAAAAGGCAAAAACCTCAATTTATATATATTTATATACATGTAAAATCTTTGGAAGCATAAGCTTCAAAAGGTATAAAGTTATCCAAAAATCTAATAAGGAATAGGTAAACCAAAAATCTTAAAATGCTAAAAGCCTTAAAATTTACAAATACATAAAAAATATCATAAGGATAAAAGCCGTAGAAGGTATAGGTTTCTTTGATTATTCAAAAATATTAGAATTTAAAGCCTCAAAAGGTTTAGGATTATCCAAAAATCTTTAAAGATAAAGGCATTAAAAGGAACATGTGTATGCAAAGCTATGGAAAGCAAGTTCCTTAGAAGGTATATGTACTCCATAAACCTCAAAAGACATAAGCCTTATAAAGGTAAAGGATTATCCAAAAATCATATAAGGCTAAATTCCTCATAAGATATATATTTGTTTTATTCTTCAAAAACCTCGGAAGGCTAAATATTACATAAGAATAATTTTCTAATGATTATGCTCTAATTTGGGTGCAATATCTCAAGGAATATCATAAAGATGTAGAAATGGCATGTTTTTCTCTAGTGGGGAAAGTTCATAAATTAGAATTATATTTATATAAAGATGGGGTGTTCATTACTTCAAACAAATTAAAAAAAAATACATTAGTCAAGCTCATATATGTTGAGATTTGGGAGTCCGACTTAGTGGTTTGATGATTATAAATATTATTGGTGTGATTATTCACTTATTCTTGCTTCACATACATTACTTATTTCTTTTGAGTGTCACTAACCATTTTAGGTACTACAAACACCAAGCTGAATTGAAGAATTAAAACTCATAATAGTATCGAGTTAATGTCTAAGTTAGTTTGTAATAGAGTTATTCTTTTTTATTTTCTTGAATAATTTTATGTATTAGATTCTTGTTGGGTAGACATTTGAGCTGACACTCACATAGGGGATAAAAATTTAAATCTCTAAATTTTTTTAATAATCATACTATATAATCCAAATCATATCATACAATCTACTAAAATAAAAATAATTCAAATATGTAATTAAATTGGTTTAATTAAATTAATTTATAACAACATGCTATACGAATTTCAATTGTATAAGGCGATCAGCTATTTGACAATCACTGTCGTCAAAGCTGTGTTACAAAAATTAGGAAATTTTAAAATTTAAAATTTTAACTGATCATACTATATGAAGTAGTTCATATTGTATGAACATTAATGAATATTACCTAATTTAATCTCATAAATAAAGGAATCAAATCATGATCAAATTTTAATTAATGATCATATTATATGATCCAAATCATACAAGTGATCAAATAGGGAGCTCATTGGTTGAATCTTAGTTCATTCAGGACGATCTGTGACTCGATATAACTAATTATAGTATATGATAGAACATTATACAAAATAATCAGAAATGGGAATTGAACTAATCAAATAATTTGATCTAAGTATCATATTGTACCATTAGAATAATTAATTAATTATAAATTAGGATTTAATTTAAAGAACTCAGACTATTTAAACCTCAACAAGACTTGAGAGTAAAAGGTTGAGTAGTCAACAACAATGATAATAAGCCTTTATCACACTATGTGGGGTAGGCTACATGAATCCTTTTTCTCCGTTTTTTCCTACTAAGAGTCAAATTCTGTTCTAAATTTAATAAAAAAATGTCATTTCTAATATATTCTTATTAAGTTTTTTTATGTTCTCCTCTACTATTCTTAACATAAGTCAAATCTAATGCACCTACTATCCTAACTAGGCCATCAGAAGGACACCATTTTATGTAACTGAACCATATAAGGCGACTCTCTCAAATCTTATCTTCCATTGGAGCTACTCCAACCTTTTCACATATATGCTCATTTTG